AAAAAAAAAAAAAAAAAAAAAAAAAAAACACGGATTAAGCAAACAGGTTTAGAAATATGTAGTGAAGCCCGCTGCAGTGGCGTGTTCCTGTGGTCCCAGCTTCTCTGGAAGCTGAGACAGGAGGATCTCTTAAGCCCAGGAGTTGAAGGCCAGTGGGGACACCCATCTCTTAGAAAAGAAAAAACTTTTTAAAATAGTGTAAAATAACATTTATATGGTTAAAAACATGCAAAAGAATATAAATATTTGGGAGTGTACATAATGTCATGAAATTATAAAGACATGCATTGGAATGATAACTAAAATTTCAAGATAGTGGTGATCTGGTGGGAGATGTAATGGAGAAGAACAGAAAGGCTTCAAATTGGTGATGTTTTATTATTTAGGTTAGTGTTAGTTTCACAAGCATGCCTTACATTATTGTTTGTATGTAAGGCACATACCTTCTGGTATGTCTGAAATATTTAATAATAAATGAATTTTTAAAGTAAATCTATACACACCCTTCCTCGGCCATCAAGTTTCCTCTATTATTAGCTAGCTATAGTTTATTTTCTATTATTTGTTCTTACACTGGTATTTATTGTTTCTAATATGTTTCTGTTTTCTGATTCTTGCCTTTTTTAAACCAACAGAATGAAGACACAACTTACTAAAATCTCTGGGACACCTTTAAAGCAGTGTCGAGAGGGAAATTTATAGCAATAAATGCCCACCAGAGAAGAGAGGAAAGATCTAAAATGGAGACCCTATCGTCAAAATTGAAAGAGCTAGAGGAGCAAGATCAAAAAAACTCAAAAGCTAGCAGAAGACAAGAAATAGCTAAGATCAGAGCAGAACTGAAGGAGATAGAGACACAAAAAACCCTTCAAAAAAAATCAATAAATCCAGGAGCTAGTTTTTTGAAAAGATCAACAAAATAGGCCGCTAGCCAGATTAATAAAAAAGAAAAGGGAGAAGAATCAAATAGAAACTATAAAAAATGATAAAGGGGATATCACCACTGATCCCACAGAAATACAAACTACCATCAAAGATTACTGCAAACAGCTCTACTCACATAAACCAGTAAACCAGGAAGAAATGGATAAATTCCTAGACACTTGTACTTTGCCAAGATAAACCAGGAGGAAGTTGAAACCATGAATAGACCAATAGCAAGGGCCGAAGTAGAGGCAGCAATCAATAGCCTACCAACGAAAAAAAGTCCAGGTCCAGACGGGTTCACAGCCAAATTCTACCAGACGTACAAAGAGGAGCTGGTTCCATTCCTTCTGAAACTGTAGCAAACAATACAAAAGGAGGGAATCCTCCCTAACTCATTTTGTGAGACCAACATCATCCTGTTACCAAAACCAGGCAGAGATTCAACTGAAAGAGAACCCTTCAGGCCAATATCCATGATGAACATCGACGCAAAAATCTTCAATAAAATACTGGCAAACAAATCACAACACCACATCAAAAAGCTTATCCATCACGACCAAGTAGCCTTCATCCCGGGGATGCAGGGCTGGTTCAACATATGCAAATCCATAAACGTAATCCATCACATAAACAGAACCGAAGACAAAAACCACATGATTATCTCAATAGATGCAGAGAAGGCCTTTGACAAAATTCAACAGCCCTTCATGCTCAAAAGTCTCAATAAACTAGGTATTGATGGAACATATCATAAAATGATAAAAGCTATATATGACAAACCTACAGCCAATGTCATACTGAACAGGCAAAAAAAAAGTCTCTTTTTTCTGATGAGAATAGCTACTCCTGCTTGCTTTTGGTTTCCATTTGCATGGAATATCTTTCTCCACCGCTTTACCTAAGTTTATGTGATTCCTTATGTGTTAGATGAGTCTCTTGAAGACAGCCCATACTTAGTTGCTGGATTTTTATCCATTTCCACTGTATCTTTTAAGTGGAGCATTTAGGCTATTTACATTCAATGTTAGTATTGAGCTGTGAGGTACTGTTCTATTCATCATGCTAGATGAATAGAATAGGGCCAATGGGCTTATGTTCCAGAGGGGATTATGGCTGCCTCTGTCACCAGGGAAGTGAAAGAAAACCAGTAGTGATAGGCTTCATCCAACTCCCATGCAGTTGGCCAGGCAGTCTCCTTCCTGCTGAGTCCCCACTAACAGCACTGATTTTATCACCAGGCAGCCTGCAGGCAAGAGTCAGACCTAGCCCTAGGCTATAGTTTCCCCACTGGGAAAGCAAGTATGGCTTTCAAGCCATGCCCCACGCTACCTGCCTGTACTGTCCACCATGACTCCTGCTCTCCTATCTGCAGCAGTTTTTGTTTGCCCCTGCCTTCTGCTCAAGAGAGTGTGTGCCCAGTCAAAATTATTACAGAGTTCAGTTGGAAGCTTCTTTCACTCTGTGGCCCCTCCCGAACTCCACCAGCTGCCTTCCCCGAGGGCTCCTTTGAGATATAATCAGGGATGGCTTCCTTGGGCTTGAGGTGGAGAATGGGAGTGCCTACAAGGCTCTTCTCACTGCTGCTTCTACTTTTATATTTCATGCTAAATCTGTTTCAGCTCTAGGTTAAGGTTCAATCTCTCTTCCATAATCTGGATTTTGGGGTTCCCCAGTGGGGATATATGTTTGGAGGCAGGTTTTCCACCTCTCACACTTTGGGAACTCACAATTTTTCACGTCTTGAAGAATTAGCAGCAGCCTACCACTTCTTTTAAAGCATCTGTGATTTCTTTTGGTTTTCCTGGAATGCTTCTGCTGTGGTTCCTGGAGCAAAAGTCCATGGTGTGAGTCTCCACACACTGTTCTGTCCATCCAAGTGGGAGCTGCACGTCAGCCCTGTCTCCTATCTGGCATATTCCTTGGTCTTCCTGATATCCTTTTTGACCCTAGAGTAGTGTGAGTTAGCTATTTAAAATTAATAGACTATTTTTAGAGCAGTTTTGTTACCAGAAAGTGGTCCTAATCCAGACCACTTAATATTGTTAAGAGGGCAATACTATCCCAAATGGTCTACAGAGTCATTGCTATCTCTCTCAGAATTTCAAAGTCTTTTTTTTTTTTTTTTTCAGAGATAGAAAAGCTGGTCCTCAAATTCATGTGGAATTTTAAGGGGCCTCAAGTAGCCAAAACTGTGTTGAAAATGAAGAACAAAATTGGAGGATTCACACTTCCTGATTTCAAAACTTACTACATTTGGGAGGCTGAGGTGGGAGGATCATTTGAATTCAGGAGTTGGAGACCAGCCTGGGCAACATACCAAGACCTCATCTCTGCAAATATACAAAAATTAGCCAGGCGTGATGGCACATGCCTGTAATCCTAGCTTCTTGGGAGGCTGAGGCACAAGAATTGCTTGAACTCAGGAGGTGGAGGTTGCAGTAAGCTGAGATTGCACCGGTGCACCCTAGCCTGGGTGACAGAGCAACACTACTCTGTCTCAAAGGAAAGAAACAAAGAAGAAAGAAAAAATATTAGCAGGCTGTGGTGGCACACACCTGGAGTCCTAGATACTCAGGAAACTGAGGGGGAAAAAATATTACAAAGCTACAGTACACATACACATTGTATGCATGTATCAAAATATCACATGTAACCCTAAATATGTACAATTATTATATACCAATAAAAAAATTATGTGCCAATAAAAGGCCAGACACAGTGGTTCATGCCTATAATCCGATCACTTTGGGAGGCCAAGGCAGGCAGATCACTTGAGCTCAGGAATTCAAGACTCGCCTGGGCAACGTGGCAAAACCCTGTCTCTACAAAAAATACAAAAAGTGGCTGGGCATAGTCCTGTGTGCCTGTAGTCCCAATTACTTGGCAGAGCAAGACAGGAAGATCACAAGTGAGATCCCGTCTCAAAAAAAAAAAATTGTTTAAAGTTTGTGCATCAAATGACGCTATCAAGACCGCAAAAATATGATAATTTGCCATGGTTTGA